TGCTAACAACCATGCATTCACTCTTCTTGCAATTGATAGTTAGTCCTTTCTTCTCACTTTCTTTCACTACCTTCTGTAGGAGTTCTTATAGTTTCTTTTCTATATTTGCTATCAACTCTGTGTCATCTTCATATCTTAAGATTGTGGCCACAATAATGGATCCTGGTAATTCTCTCAGAATTGTCTCACTATAAGTTGAATAAATCTGATGAGAAAACAAATCTGTGACTTAGACCTCTTTCTATTTTTGTATATTTACTGAATTCTTTTTCTATCCATATGCAGGAGGTTTGCTGCCATTATTCTGGATTATTCTATTATCCTTACCAAATATATCAAGATTAGCTAGCAGTTCCAAAGGTTCTTTGTGGTGGTCTTCATCAAACACTTTTGTATAGAATTTAATAATTGTGATTAAAACAGACTTGTTAAAACAATAGGGAAGAATAATACAAATATTTTCAAAGCAAATGACTTAACAAAAAAACAAATAAATAAAAAGCAGCTTAACCAGAGAGTCATTTCTCTCTCATCAGACCTCAATTGGGGACAAGAAATGGGCACAACACCTAAAATCAATAATACTAGATACTAGTTGTTTTATAATAAATATATAATCATAAAATGTCTAATTATGCTTAAGACTCAAAGCCATTCCCACATTGGTAGAACAGCTCCAAAGTTAGAAACAAGAATATATTAGCCAATATTCAGACAGACAATTTGAACTATTTTTAGTAGGTACGTTAATGCATCTGGTAGATGATAATTTATTAAACAGTTATCAATGTGCCAGGTCCTATAATCCAGAGATGTTCTTGGTATTGAGGCAGATTCACTCAGATTTCAGTCTTACGGTTTTAGAGTCAATTTATATTAAGTCTTTCCAGCCATCACTTTGTAAACAGAATGAGAGGCTGTTAGGTTTAATTATAATTAGCCTTTGATGTTTAAACATTTATTATATAAAGTTCTGCCTATGGTTTCACTGATTTTAGTAGCTGTGCACATTTCTTGTCCTTGTTGAGCACTGATGAGAATGGAACAACAAACAGGTTAAGCGGTTTTTGTTAATTTATTTGCTTTTTGAGAGTACCATTTTACAGTAATGTAAACATTTTCATTATTCTTTTCTGTTGTTTTAATCACACTTATCTGGTATATATATATACCTGAGATAGAACAAATACATTGAGTCAATTGCTTCATCCACCACGAGGAAAGTTGGCTCTCTGTACCGCACTAGGAAATTTTTATCTCCGGAATCGATACTTCAAATATACAAATCAACCATTCACCCTTGCATGGAGTATTGCTGCCATATATGATCTGGGGCACCTTCTGTTTACCTCGGAGTTCTTGACAAGATCCAGAGACGGATATGTAATATAATTGGCCCTGATCTGGCATCTCGTCTACAGTCACTCTCTTACAGACGCGCCGTCGCCTCTCTCTGTCTTTTCTACAAATACTTTCATGGTAATTGCTCCGATGAGCTGCTTTCACTGGTTCCCAGACTCCATGAATTCAAGCGCCCACGAGGCTGGCATCCCGCTCTCACCCTTACACTGTAGAAACTTTTTTAAATGTAGCCGTCTCTTCTACTCCAATAGCTTCATACTGCACCTCTCGGCTGTGGAACACCCTTCCCAATTACTGTTTCCCTGAGAGCTATAATCTCCAACTATTCAAATGTAATGTCAATCGACATCTGCAGTTACCTTTATCTATCCACTATCCCTCTCCTCATCCTTTCTTCTATCACTCCTATCTGCTCTCACTCCAAATCTTCTGCAACCCCCTGCAACCCCCTGCATCCTAGTGGCTTCACGCCTTGCTTGGGGCGTAATGCTTAAAAAAAAAAATATACTTTGGCTAAATGAATGACAAAATAGAAAAAAGTGCAATGTAACATGCTTCATCCTTTAAAAGGATTTCATCAAACTGAAATAATGTTCTTCTTGAGGGAATTATATATATATATATATATAGATGGGTAATCTTTCTTACTTAAAGTTTAGGTTTCAAATTAAGATGGAGTAATATTTGAAGGTAATATTAAAGATTTTGTTTTTTTCATATATATATCACATATATACTTATGCAAATCCTATATATACATACATTCATTTACATGCGCAATTACACACATAGGCACACACATGTATCGATATACACAGGTACCTATACATATTCATACATAAATTACATACACAGACATTTACAAGTAATTACATATATTTATATTTAAATTTATTTAAATTTTTTCTTTAATTTCACAGTTAATGTTTAACGTTAGGTGTTGACTTAAGTGTTTAAATATCCAAACAAATATTTCTGATTTAATATTTTACTATCAATATTGATAGTTAAAGATTGATATATTTAAATTTAAATTAAATTATCAATTTAAAATGAAAATGACTCCAGATGATAAATATTTAATCTCACAATTCTAATTAGAGAATATTAAAAGAGAAAGTGAGATTAAATATTAATAAAAGTAATTTTAAAACTTCAATAATGTATGTATGTGATATATATATGAAAAAAACAAAATCTTTAATATTACCTTCAAATATTACTCCATCTTAATTCGAAACCTAAACTTTAAGTAAGAAAGATTACCCATCTAAAAATAATTACAAATTACATTCATAAATTAGATTCAAACTGATGTTACTGTAACTGTCTTTTACAATATTAAAAGAGTGCTATTGGTCGGGTAAACAAACTGTTATAGTTTAAAATTTTTTTGATATGTTATCTATGAATGTGTTAATAAATACAGTATTTAACTTATATTAAATCACTGAATTATTTGTAAAAATGTTAAATATTTAAATTGCTAGCAAGCATTAAATTAATTTCTTCAGGTTATTTTTAGACATCTAAATTACTATCAAGCATTAAAATTTATTTTTTACATAAATTGCTAAAATTTATTTACAGCCTCTTTCTCTTTACTTCCCTCTCCCTCTTGTTTCTTTTTCCTTTTTCCCTTTTCTTTTCTCTCTTCTCCCCTCCCATTTCAATATATCACTTCCGTTAAGCTAACCATTTAAATAGGTCAAGGTCTGGTCACTTCTCCTCCCCCAAATACTAAGTATGCTTGAGAGAGATATGAAATTAATCCCTCCCTAAACTCTACCATGTCTCTTTAACTATCCCTTTTACACTCTCTGTTTAATTACAAAAACTTACACTACCCATCAATTTTAATTTCATTTTTCGTTTCATTTTTGGAAGTGCAATCTGATGATCCAGCGTCCTTTAAAAGGGCTCTGGTGAAATAAATTATTATAATGGAACCATAAAGTGCTCTGTTTTTCTTTTTATATATATATATATATATATATATATATATATATATTTATGTGTGTGTGTTTGTGTGTGTCTGTGTGTGTTTGCATATTTAGGCAGCATATTTTCATTAAAACAGATTATAAATATTAAAAATAATAACAGTAGATAATTTAGACATATCATATTGATTTATGTTGGTTGTGATCCTTTCAAGTTCACGGATTAATTTCTTGTTGGCCTTAGAAAATTGATTAGGAAAAATACCAAAATTTTCATTCAAATAATTTTCATTTTCCCAAATACTTTCAATCTCATCTGAGAGCATGTTCAGGGGGTTAAATTGTCAGTGAATGTGTTTATGTATTTCTGTAAATTCAAAACATTTCAACTTTTTGTTTTACTGCATTATACAGTGTTCTAGATTTCAAATTGAAGATGTTTAGCTGCAAAATTTACACACACACACACACACACATACATACATATATATATATATATATATAGATATATATATATATATATATATATATATATATATATATCAGTAAAGTTTAGATACTAGTTTGTAAGCCTGGGCTTCACACTTTTACATTTTTTGCATTTGCCTGATGATTGCAAAGTGTGAAACCCAGGGTTACAAAACTAATATCTATACAATTGGATATATTGGCTCTATCACAGATACTGAGCACTTTGCACTGAAGACCACACACACACATACATACATACATACACACACACACACATGTATGTATATATATATATATATATATAATTATTTTTTATAAAAAAATTATAACATAAGTATGTTATAAAATCACTACAAAAATAGCCATTTTGTTTCAACACACTCTGTGTCTTATCAAGTGATGATGTTCAACACTTGTGAGTCAGTTTTAACATATTTCATATCCTATGTTGTATTAATAGGACTTGCCTGGATTATACCAATGGATTACTACCTGTATATATATATATATATATATATATATAAGAATAATAATAAATAAATAAAATTAAAAAGTTTCCTCCCTTATACTATGGGAAAAAAAATATGAATTTTGAATTTGAAATCTATTTTATTTTTAAATTTATGGCATTGGATGTGTTGAGATATACAGTTTAGCCAGATTTATTCAGCTTCCAAACTCATATTCTCTCATATATATTTTATGTTGAGAATGCCATGGATCAAACATGTGAGCAACAATGAAGTTTTAGAGAAAATGAAAACAAAAACAAAAAATACTTAACAACAGAAAGTGACATTTAAAATTTCCAGTGCACATAATGAAGAAAGAAGGCCTGGAAAACTTGACACTCACCAGATCAAATTTTCTAATTCCTAAAAAGGATAGGAAATTTTGGGGAGCCATTATCACCAATATCTTTCATTTTAATTCTATCTCCATTATTAGCAATGCAATATAATCGGAGACTTTATTTTTCAATCGTATCTCATGATTTAAAATGATGGAGTACTAGAGACAAGGAAAACAAAAAGAAAAAATAGATGAAAATTTCTAGGGTACATAATGAGGAAAGAGAACTAGGAAAATTTGATACTCACAGGATAGACTAAAGGCAAGACAGACAGAGGAAAATTATGTGTAACCTACCAGGTGAGCTTGAGCAAATGGATGGTGGGGCAGGATTTGGGATAGATGTTGAAAAGACAAAATTTATTAAGAGAATCAAAGGATAGAAAGTTGTGGAGAGCTACGAATTCCAACATTCTGAAGTGACATAGCACATTGAAGAAGAAGAAGAAAAGGGGAAGAAGAAGAAGAAGAAGAAGAAGAAGAAGAAGACGAAAGAAAAAAAGAAGAAGAAGAAGAAGAAGAAAAAGAAGAAGAAGAAGAAGAAAGTTTTTGTTCCTGTGGAATCAAATTAACAAGATGAGATGATGTTTTTAATAAGACATGTACAGTTTAGAAGATATTTAACTCATTGAACCATATCACTGGACGTTTTAGATAAATGCTACCTCATAGATGAGAATTCAAGTAACACTAATTTCCCAGTGGGGATAAAACTGTCTGGCTACATTCATTGCCTCTAAAACTAAACTAGTTATATTCCATCACCACTGATCAGACCCTAAACTCTTGCCTTTCACTATGAACAGATGTCCCTTTGAGGAGGATCTATGCCTCAAGAGAATATTGAGCCTCTAGCTCACATCCAACCACAAGTGGAAATCTTGTATGCGATCCATCGCTAAAGATGCTGGTAAAATGATTGGTTCTCTGTATTGCTCCAGTAAGTACCTGACTCCTCGTGCTATCTTCTAACTTTATAAGAGCCAGATCAGGTCGAAAATGGAGTACTGTTGCCATATTTCGACAGGAGCTGTCTAGATCTCCCTTTCCAGTCTTGATAGTGTTCAAAAGCATCTCCAAATCTTTGTTGGAAAAGAATTATTTTCCACACTTCAATCTCTCTCTCACAAAGCAGGATATAGTGAACTTTTCACTGCTCTATTGCTACTACCATGGAAAGTTCTCAGATGAACTGCATCTCTTGGTTTCACCAAAACTGACCTTCATGGTTAGGACCTGCCATGCCACTTACATTGTCACAAACCACCCATATTTCATCCATATTCTGTCAGCGATAAGTAAGTTCCACTCAAACAATTGTGGCTCTACAGAAGGATGCAGAGAATACCATGGATGGAACATGTGAGGAACAAGGAAGTTTTAAAGAAAATGAAAATGAAATGAAGAATTATATCAGAAAGAGACTGTTAGGTTTTCCAGGATGCAAAGTGAGGATTGAGTGCTTGGAGAATTTGACACTCACATGACATATTGAAGGCAAACAGAGGAAAACAGCAAGTAACCTGACTAGTGAGCTTGTGTAAATGGAAAGAAAAAAGACAAACCTTATTTAGAGTTACAAAAGTCAGGTTGCTGTGGTGGGCCATGATCGCCCATGTCCTGAAATCCAGAAGGAAAATAACACATAATAGTAGAATGTTACATTTTAACTGGTTTCAGTTTAATTCCCAGAATGACACATTACTTTCTGTATAGCCTAATATATCTAAACTATAAACATGCACCATGAAATTTCTATCGAACCTGCTGGGGAGGTGGGTGTGGTTTAAATAAAGTTCTGGCACTTATCAGTTGAAGAAAACAAATACTAATAGCATACCTGATTGAGACACATCAATCACAACACCTCTCCACCTCTCACAAGGAAAACAATTACAAGAAAAAAAAAGATCAGGTTTAAAACAATAAATAAAACAAAGAAAAATTAGTTACATTTTTCTTTTTCCATAACTTTTTGGTAAAGACGGCTTCTTGACAGCCATGAACAAATATTTGTTTTGAATGTTTGTCTGATGGCATCAAGAAGGAATGAAAGTTGCCATTGACAAACAGCAGTGAAATGTCTCTTCAAATTAATAGTTTCGTTATTGCCAAGCACAAAAGATTGTTTGCTGAACTCTACTCTGCTAAGTTGCCATGGCTGTATCGACAAAGAATTCTATCACTTAGCAGAGTCTGCGCTCAGTGGCTTACATTGAACAATGCCTATGATTCTTTTGAGTGGAAGACTATCTTTTGTGTTGGTGTTACATAAAGAATTATTTTTAGTTCAATTACTTAGGGACAGGTTCATATTCTTCAATTTCTAATACAAAGATGTAGATCAGATATATAAAGAGAAAGAAAGAAAGAAAGAAAGACAGAGAGAAAGAATGAAAGCAAACAATCAAGCAAGAAAGAAAGAAAGAAAGATATAATGTAAGAAATAAGGAAAGCAAGCAAAAAAGAAAGAAAGAGAGAGAGAGTGGGAAAGAAGAAAGCAAGAAGGAAAGAAAGCAAGACAGAAAGAAAGAAAGAAAGAAAGCAAGACAGAAAGAAAGAAAGGAGGAATGAAAGAGAGAGGGAAAAACAAACAAGCAAGAATGAATGTTTACTAGCAAGCAAAAAAGAAAGCAAACAAGGAAAAAAGAAAGAAGGTAGGCAAGAAAGAAAGAGAAAGAAGCAAGCAAGAAAGAAAAAAAGAAAGCAAGCAAGAAAGAAAGAAAGAAAGAAAGAAAGCAAGCAAGCAAGCAAGAAAGAAAGAAAGAAAGCACTAAGAAAAAGAGAAAGAAGCCAGCAAGAAAATAAAGAATGAAAGCAAACAAGCAAGCAAGCAAGAAAGAAAGAAAGCAAGGAAAAAAGAATGAAAGAAGGTAGACAAGAAAGAAAGAGAAAGAAGCAAGCAAGAAAGAAAGAAGGAAGGAAAGAAGAAAGGAAAGACAGCAAGCAAAAACGAAAGAAAGCAAGCAAGAAAGAGAGAGAGAGAGAAGCCAGCAAGAAAGAAAGAAGGAAGGAAAGAAAGCAAGCAAGCAAAAGAAAGAAAGAACACAGGCAAGAAAGCAAGCAGGAATGAAAGAAAGAAAGAAAACAGAAAAAAGCAGGCAAAAAAGAGAGAAGGAGAGAGAGAGAGAGAATGAATTACAGAAAGTAAGCAAGTAAGCAGAAAGAAAGAAAGAAAGGATGATATTAAAATAGAGGGGAGGTCTGAAGAAAATGACAAGTTGATGGAATCAGAAAGAAAAACACTGGAGAGGATTAAAAAAGAATAAAATGAATATAAAAGAAAAATATCAAAAAAGAAAAGAAGAAAATGAAAGAAAAAACAACTAATGATGAGTGAACAAAAAAGGAAAGAAGAGAGAGAGAGAGAGAGAGAGAGAGAGAGAGAGAGAGAGGCAAGGAATAATGGGGAAAAATAAAAAATGAACAAAACATAGGCCAGGCAAGAAAAATGAAAGAGATAAGATGAGAAAAAATAGAGAATGAAAAATGAAAAATAGAGAGGCAGGAAAAGAATTGAAGAAGAAACAAAAAAAAAAGGGAAAATAAAACTAATAAAATAATTATGAGAAGGAGGGGAAAAGAAAGAAAAAGAAAAAAGTGAAAAAGAGAAAAATAGAAGATAAAAAGGCAAGGTATAAAAGAAAGAGGTAGAATAGATAAAGGAACTAAAAGAATCAAAATGAGAAGAAGAAGAAAAAGAACAAGAGGTGGAAGGATTAGAGAAGAAGAGGAAGAAGTAGAAATAAGCAAGTAGAAAGTGAAGAAGAAGGAGACGAAGAAGATGAAGAAGAAGAAGAAAGATTAAAGAACAACAACAACAAAGATAAGATGTAAGAAGAATAGAAGAAGAAAAAAAAAGAAGTAAATGAAAGATGTGAGAAGAACAAGTAAGAAGAAAAACAAAAACATGAAGAAGAAGAAAACTGTGGGAAGAAAAAGAGAAAGAATTAAGCAAAAAAGAAATAGTACTAGAAATCGGCCAAGAAAGATTAGAGAAGAAGAAGAAGGAGGAGGAGGAGGAGGAGAAGGAGAAGGTGGAGATGAAGAAGAAGAAGAAGAAGAAGGGGAGGAGGAGATGAAGAAGAAGGAGGGGGAGTAGGTGGAGGAGATGATGATGAAGAAGGAGGAGGAGGAGGAGATTATGATGAAGAAGAAGAAGAAGGGGAGGAGGAGGAGATGAAGAAGAAGGAGGAGTAGTAGTAGTAGTAGTAGTAGGAAGAGATGATGAAGAAGAAGAAGAAGAAGGGGAGGAGGAGGAGATGAAGAAGAAGAAGGAGTAGTAGTAGTAGGAGGAGGAGGAGGAGATGATGATGAAGAAGAAGAAGGAGTAGGAGCAGGAGTAGGAGTAAGAGTAAGAGGAGGAGGAGTGGAAGAAGAAGAAGAAGAAGAAGGAGAAGAAGGAGGAGGAGGAGATGATGATGAAGAAGAAGAAGAAGGGGAGGAGGAGGAGATGAAAAAGAAGAAGAAGAAGAAAACAAAAAGGAAGGAGAAATACAAAATGAGAGCAAGAACAAAAAATAAGCAACAAAGAAGAAAGAGAAAGCAACAAAGAAAAAGAATATGATGATGATGTTGTGAAGAACAAGGCGAAGACAGAAAAAAAAACTATTCAGAAACGACAGAGCTAGAAAGGAAGAATAAAACATTAGGAAACATTAAAAGAATAAAAGACAATAAAGACAATGAAAGAATCAAAGAGTAAGAAGAATAAAGACAATGAAAGACTCAAATTCCCTCCCTGAAGGAAGGTGCAGCTGCTTTTTCTTCCCACCTGCTCATACAACCACAAATATAACGTCCAAACAGCTTTAATACATTTTCCTCAATTTGTACACAGGACTGTTTACATATCGTGTCTATCCGAGGTATTTCCATGAACCAAGAACCCTTCATTTTTCTCATGGGATAAAAATTAAAAATACAAAGAAATGTGAAAGAAACAAATGTCAAAATATGATTTTACACCAATGTAAATGTTACAGGCATGATTATTTAAATGCCTCCATCCGCTGTTCACTGATACCCAAGATGAAGACAGAAACACAGGCAGAAAGGGGGGAACTGAAATGTGCATAAGACAAATTTAAAATTTTAGAAGTACAAGGTCAAGCTCAGTGAACAATTGGTAAAAGATGTGCTGCGAATGAGGTAGTTGGAATCTGTCAGCTTTGGGAGATAATAGTCTATTTAGAGTGGTAAATCCTTGTTGCTAAGACCCTTGGGAAAGGTATGAATCCTGTTCTCTCCCCCCCAGGTATGGGTGAATAGCAGGACAGATTAGGTTCTATAGCCTTGGATGGCAACTGGTCTACTGCAGAAAGAAATGGCAACCGACTGCAGGAAAAAACGTCTGCCCACCAGTGATAGGTAAACAGCAGGACTGACCGAGTTCTATAGCCTTGGATGGCAACTGGTCTACTGCAGAAAGAAATGGCAACCGACTACAGGAAAAAAGTCTGCCTTGTCAGTCTTGTATCAAAAGACACATGATCACCTAAGCGTGTATCATGCATGGCACATAACTGACTGTAGGAGACATGGTGGATTAATGGATAGCAGCTCGGATTCAGTAATCAGAGAGCCGAGTTTGAATTCCAGTCGAATCCATTACATTCATTTACATGCTAATACCCTTGGGAAAGGTATGAATCCTCTTCTCCACCCCCAAGGTATGGGTGAATAGCAGGATAGACCGGGTTCTATAGCCTTGAATGGCAACTGACCTACCGCAGAAAGAAATGGCAAACTAATGCGGGAAAAAAGATCTGCCTCGTCAGTCATGTATAGAAAGACATGATCACCTAAGCATATACCACGCATGCCACATAACTGACTGTAGGAGACACGGTGGAGTAATGGATACCGGCTGAGAGTAAGGAATCGGAGAGCCGAGGATTCGGAGAGCCGAATTCTAGTTGAATCCATTGCATTCACTTACATGCTAATACCCTTGGGAAAGGTATGAATCCTCTTATTTCCCCCCCACCTATGGGTAAATGCCAGGACAGACTGGGTTCTATAGCCTTGGATGGCAACTGGTCTACTGCAGAAAGAAATGGCAACCTACTGCGGGAAAAAAATCTGTCTTATCAGTCATCTATCGAAAGATACATGATTGCCTAAGCATGTACCAAGCATGTCACATAACTGACTGACTGAATCCTTGTTCCAAATGCTTGTCCAAGTCACTTTGGGTTTATTCCATACCCAAAGAGCGAAACTGTGGTCAAGCTGCAACTATGTTGAATAGACGTTAGTTAGAATTTCTGGGAGAGGCCACATAATCTGGTATAATCAGAAGTTAAAAAAAAAGTCCATACACTCAAACCTTCAATCGTAATGACTTGGGACTCTGTGTTAATGCAAACATCAATGGCTTTCAAACAGTTTCATCTACCCAATTTCATTCACAAGTCTAGCTTTTTTTTCCTTTTTTTGTTTTAAATCACTTCACTCCAAACAAGGTGATAATGCCACTAAGACACAAAAGGCTACGGGGAGTGAAAGAGAATGCAAAGAATTTAGAAGTAACCAGAAACCCAATCCTAAACAGGAAACAAAGGATAAAACTCTACACATTTTTGATGTTGTGATATGGTTCTCAGTTACTTATAAATGAGGCCACATGTCACGATTATCTCCCTTGACTGATATTATAAAGTCACCTACTTGACAAACTGACCATGAGAATATTCAAAACTGGGTTTCATGGTTGAAATACTGATATTCTAACCTCTCAGCCATAAACTTCTCTGTTTTGATGCAGTACTGGAAGAACTACTCTAAGACTATTCTAAAATATTTTAACTCTAAAGATTCCATATTTTTGACCCAATGAATTGTTTTTAATTGTATGTACCCTCAGGGTGTAACTTTTTGCAGTTTCTTTTTTCTTTAGTAATCCTAAGAGAACTAGAAGTCCTACCAGGATTTATTACTGGTAGACACAGTCTTAAAAACATAATATATGTAAATGACACAGCATTGACAGCAGAAACAGAAAAGAAACTGTAGGACTATTAGAGAAGGTAGTATAGGAAAGTAAGAAGAAAGGACTAACCATCAATTGTAAGAAGGCAGAATGTATAGTCATTAGTAAGAAGAACAGCTCAAGATGTGATCTGCAAAATGGAAATACAAAAATCAAGCAAGTATGAAAATTTAAATATCTGGCAGTGAGTGCTGGACAATATCCTCACAGATGAAGAATCGACTTTAAGCAACACAAAGAAAATAGTGATGAACTGCTATTTAATATCAATCGTCCTATATGGAAGTGAACGCTGAACGATATCCTCACAGATGAAAAGGAGACTTGCAGCAACAGAAACAAAGGAAAGAATTCTGAATTGTTATTTAATATCAATCCTCTGATATGGCAGGAGATGATGGACATAGTCACAGATGAAGGGTAGACATGAGGCAATAGAAACAAAGAAAAGAGTGCTGAACTGCTATTTAATATCAATTTTCTAATATAGTAGTGAATGCTGGACAATATCCTCACAAATGAAGAGGTGACTTGAAGCAACAGAAAGTTTTAAGTAGAATGGAAAAAAAAAACTACTTATACTTAGAATCCATGAGACTGTTTTTGGGACATATAAGGAAGATAAGGGCTTGAAGAATTTGATACTCATAGGACATATTGAAGATAAGAGGGACATTCAGAAACTGCCAATAACCTCCCTAAAGATCTTATGTAATGGATGGTTGAACAAGGAGTGGGAGTTATAGTGAAAAGACAAACATTACAAGGAGCTACAAAGAATAGAAAGTTGTGGAGAGCCATGATCGACCATATTCTGAAGGGAGACAACACATAGAAGAAGATATTTATCTATTTATTATGTTTAGCCAAGCTTGGCACAAGGTCACAGTAGTGGGCCACTTAGTAATTAGAAAATTCACTGCATAAGAAAACTAGTCTCACAAATAACCATTGTACTATGATAGGTGCAAATATACAGGGTGACGATAAAATCTCTATAGTGTTACTTATAATAAAAAAGCAAAGCATTCAAGCAAATGGCTTGCAGTTTAAACAGTATCAGTAATTAATTTACTATTGTTTAACATAGCATTTTATTGTTATTAACCAGAATTAACCTGAAACATTTTAATAATAAATTTCTAGACTATTGATTAATTTTGTCTTAATAGTTATTGTAAGTAACTGCATACTGACTTTATTGCCATCCTGTATGTTTGTTGTGTATGCATTGATGTATATGTATGTAGGGAGGCATAGGGTTTGGCACGCCGGCCTTCTTTGTAAGCTCCAGGGTTATGGTATTACTGGTCGACTGTTTGATCTAATACAATCATTCCTGTCAAACCGAGAATTGAAGGTCGTTCTCAACGGATTCTCCTCCAGTTCCTATCCCATGAACGCAGGTGTTCCCCAAGGCTCCATCCTTGGCCCCAATATTTTCCTTATTTTCATCAATGACCTTCCTGACGCCATAGATTCCCAAGTTGGCATTTACGCAGGCGACACTACAATTTACTCCTGCCTCAAAAACAAATCTAGTGTCGGCGACAAAACTAACCTGGCCATGCGTCTTGAAATGGACCTCCAATCGGTTGTTAACTGGGGCAAGAATTGGCTGGTCATCTTTAACACCTCGAAAACTAAATTACTCTCCATTAACCACCATAGAGATCCTTCCCTGTCCCCCCATTAAAATGTCTGATAGTCAACTTCCTGAGAGCAACTCCCTGTGTCTGCTCGGTCTCACGCTGACTGCTGACCTGAGATGGAACAAATACATTGAGTCAATTGCTTCTTCCATCTGCGAGGAAAAGTTGGCTCTCTGTGCAGCGCCAGGAAATTTTTTCTCCCCTGAATGGATACTTCAAATATACAAAACAACCATTCACCCTTGCATGGAGTATTGCTGCCATATATGGGCTGGGCACCTTCTGCTTACCTCGGAGTTCTTGACAAGATCCAGAGACGGATATGTAATCTAATTGGTCCTGATCTGGCGTCTCGTCTGCAGTCACTCTCTCACAGTATGACGTTGCCTCTCTCTGTCTTTTTCAAATACTTTCATGGTAATTGCTCTGATGAGCTGCTTTCACTGGTTCCCAGACTCCATGAATTCAAGCGCCCCTAAGGAGGCTGGCATTGCGCTCCCACCCTTACACTATAGAAATTTTTAAATGTAGCCATCTCTTCTACTCCAATAGCTTCATACCTCGCACCTCTCGCCAGTGGAACACCCTTCCCAATTACTGTTTCCTGAGAGCTATAATCTCCAACTATTCAAATGTAATGTCAATCGACACCTCCAGTTACCTTGATCTATCCACTATCCCTCTCCTCATCCTTTCTTCTATCACTCCTATCTGCTCTCGCTCCAAATCTTCCGCAACCCCCTGCATCCTAGTGGCTTCACGCCTTGCTTGGGGCATAATGCTTAAAAAAAAAAAAAAAAATTTATCTACTAACATTTATTTTTATTCTTCTCCTGAGGAATGCAGCTATTCTTTGAGGCTTGGATGTGCAGGTGGTGTAATAATTAGCAATTCAGGATGAGAAATTAGCAAACCAAGTTCAAATTTCTGACAAGTTTGTTACATTCACTTTCGCACAAATACCTTTGGTATAAATCCCCTTCTTCTCCCACAGTTATAGTAAGGCAGACTGGGCTTTTAAGGTTTGGTTGGTCACCAGACTAGGAGAAAAATAACTAGTTGGGCATCCAACTAGCAACTCTATCCTGTATAAATCAACTTGCTATGGAACCTGCAGCCGCATCACCTCATATCATGAGATTGTGGCCCAATACCTGAGAGAATCATATACATGACATATATATGTTCTTTGATGGATACTTGTTGCTGTGTTTTTCCTCATTAACTTACTTTCCATTGACTAGAGTGCTCTACTTTAACATGTTTATCCTCAAATTATTAGCTTTCATTTTTTGCTTTGTGATATTCACTGACTACAATTTTTAGTTGGGCATCACTGCTTTGATCCAAAAATACCCTTTACTTTGCACATGTCTCCATGACTGTTTTTAATAATCCACTTGAGTGATCTTCATTCATGACAGCTGTGTGACTCCATGTCTGGTCAGGAAAAGAACTTTGTAATGAATATTATCTATATTACATTCAACATATATTCACGTATATAAACCTACTTGCATACATAATACAAATATAAATGCTAAGATAGATAAATGTCCTTATATATACAAATATATTTTGTTGAGTCAATCAGGTGGTGAAATAAAATGATTGACGCCAAAAATGTACTTTCATACTGACAAGGGAATTAAAGGAGACAGAAAATATAGTTATAAAGAGCAGAGCATAATGTTATAATTGATAGAGGGGAATCAGAGAAGATTGTTTTTCAATGTGAGCATTCATTTGCAATTATTGGTTGTCAGAGATATTGGCCAGAATGGCAGCAAACAAGAAAGCAGTAGACTTTATTGGAATGAAAAATTTCGGGTAAAACAGAAAGTAAGTCTTTTTTTATATTTGAATTTACTTTTGCTTGTGTCAAATGTCAAGTGTAGAATAATAGTGAGGTAGAAAATAGTGGTGAATGAAAAAGAAGGAGAAAAAAAAACCCAAAGAAAATGAACACGAATGGCATGGAAAAGAGAAGAAAGCAAAATGAATGACGTCAAAAGAAAGATACAGTAAGAATGAAAAGAAGAAAAAATGAATGAAAGTATAAAAAGAATTCTAACAAGGAAACATACTGAAGGAATTTATTAAAAAAAAAGCGGGAAAGTTGGATATGCAAAAGAAGAGGAGCAAAAAAGGTTTGAAAGAAAAAATTGAGAAGATGGAGGACTAAAGAAGTTTTAGAGAAAGAAATCAAGGAAGAAGAAGAAGAAAATGACAATAAAAATTGTAAAGAAAGAAAAAGATAAAAATGAGAACAAGAGGAAGAAAAGAAAGAATAAATAAAGAAAAAAGAAGAAAAAGGAAAAGAAGAAGAAGGTAATCAAAAATGAATATAGGAGAATAAGGAAGGCTGTAATAAAAAGGAGAAGAATAGAAAGAGAAGAAAGAAAATGTAAAAGAAAAAGAAGGGGGAAAACTAAAAATGTACAATGGGAAGAAAAAGAAGAAATGAAGAAGTTGAAGAAGAAGGGGAATTAATAATAACAATAACAATAACAATAATAATAATAATAATAAGAAGAAGAAGAAGAAGAAGAAGAAAAATACAATTAAAAATGTATGAAAGAGAAAAAAGATAAAATTGAAAACAAGAGAAAGAACAAACAATGGGTAAAAAGAAAGAAAAGAAGAAGAGAAAAAAAAGAAGAGTAGAACAACAACAATAACACCAAAAAATAAACAAGAGATGAAAAAGAAAGAGTAGAGAAGATTGAAGAAAAATATAAGCAAAGAAGAAACAATACAGAACAAGAGAAAGAAATCAGTAAAGAAGAAGAAAACAGTAAAGAAAAATAAGAAGAGAGACGAGAGAATAAGACAAAAATAAGCAAAGTGAAAGAAATAAGCAAAGAATAAAAAGAACAGAGATTAAAAAGAAAGAAGCAATTAACAATGTGTGGATGTGAATAGGAAAGAGCACAATAAAAATGAAGTAAAAAAGAAGAAAGTGGAAGAAAGAAAAAACAAATGCAAAAAGAAATGAAGGAAATTAGAAGAAAAAAAACAAGTAAAAATATTGAGACTAAGATGATGACGATAAGGCTGGTAATAGGAGGAGGTATTTATTGAGAAAAAGGGCCCATCAATTTCTTTTCTTTTAATAAAAACCTTTGTAATAAGATTCAAGGAGTAAGGATCTAATTTATAGTTTATACTGTCTTTTGGGTACAGAAAGCTCATTTGAATTCCTAAATGAAAATACTCCAAAACAGCTTTCTTTCCAAATCTTAAACCTGTTAAAACCTGCACCAATTATTAAATTCTAGACATTCCAAACAGAGATTAAGTCTCTCACAGACTGCAAATAAAACTTCATCTTTTATTCAATCAACTCCAAAACCGATGAGCAAATTTTGAATTTCTTTCAAATCTTTCTCCATTTACTGATTTCCAAAAATAGCGTTATTTTTATTTATTATGAGGGGTATGAAAAATGTTATTAGTCTGGAGGAGGTGATCTCAGTATGTGGCACCTTTGGAAAATGCCTGAAAACCATATCATGGGTTGAACCAAGCCTTAGGAGGGACAATGGGTAGACAGAACCCTTGGGAGTTGTTGATGGTTGTACTAGAACAAAGTCACAAGTTCAAAAATTTAGGGCTAGGTTCTGGCATGTCACAAACACTGGGATGAATCATTCCCATTCTTTTTGATTTCCATTGGTAACAAGTTGATGTATGAATGGCCTAGTGGATAGGGGCGCAGAATGAGAAATCAGAGAGGCAAGTTTGAATTCTGGGTGGGTTCATTATAATTACTTATCCACAAATATCTTTGGGAAATGAATCCATATCTCCCCCACCCCACAACTAAGAATGACAATTTCTCATGCTTTTTGCATCAACTGAAGCTCATGCAGTGACAGGTACTGTGGTAATCCAGGATACACTTGTTACTCTGAAATAACAATAGAAATTAGCAATTAAATATATATATATATATATATATAAAATATATATATATATATATATGTATGTATATTTTAATGATATTTTATTTAAAAAATAATTTACATCACGACACGCTTGATAATGAAACAAATTTAAAGTTCAAAACAGAAATTTCTGTGTCATGATGTAAAATAAAATAATATGCTCTACGTTTTATCAAGCACTTTTTAAAAAAATGTATGTTGGAATGCAATGTCTCACCTCCTAAATATATATATATATATATATATATATATATATATATATATATATATATATATCAGGTGGCCTGATGATTACATTCAGCAAGAAATAGCCTGTAAACTTCTGGGTGTTGACTTTAATGTTCACTTTTATATTTATATTTACATACACTCTCTCTCTGATATTGAGTACTTTATCCCATAAATATAGCACACCTTAAAACTATTTATTTATTTTATATATATATATATATATATATATGAAGATATAGTCATAAGATATGCTATATTTATGGGATAAAGTGCTCAATATCAGAGATAGAGTGTGTGTAAATATAAAAGTGAACATAGGAGTCAACACTTAGAGCTTTAAGTGTTGACTTTTATGTTCACTTTTATATATATATATATATATATATATATATATATATAGTACAATGCAAAAGTATTTGGCTACTTTAAACTATTGTAAATATCTTGTAATTCACAGCAATGCCAGTGAAAATTGAAAATCAAAGTTCAGGAGGCCCCAAAATGTCCCAAGACCATTTTGTGGAGACATCTTGTATCATTGCCTCTCATTCAGGAACTCTGCTATAAAATATGATAATTAACTACAGAAATAACTCACACATGGTCACTGGCTTTGTATATAGAAAACATGATGCAAGGGATACACTTAGTACAAACATTTACAAAAGAAATGCATCCAAAATCAAAAAAAAATATGATTATCAGTGTTCCATAATTAACGTAAGTATTACTGGTAGAAAAAGAGATTTTATACAGACAATAGATATGCATTTACTGTAGAAATACATTGCAAATGAGGAAATTTGTATTGCCAATTGTCAATAATTAATGCAAACATTACTGACAGATGAAATACATATGTATACATATACCTCGAAGCGGCGTAATGGTTAGCAAGCTTGTCTCACTAGAACAATTACAAATGAGTAGTGAGTCTGATCTTCACTAGATGCCCCCTATTTTGGGCCTTGTGCCACATCTAAGCTACACTTGGAAAATCACTATAAGCAATGATGCTGGTGATGATAATGCTATTAATGATGATGATGATTATGATGATGGTGATTAAGATGAAGATGATGATGGTAATGATGCTAGTGATTAAGACGATGATGATGATAATTGTGATATTAAGGACTAAGATCATAATGATGAAGGTGGTGGTGATGATGATACTACTGCTGATAATGATAGTGATAATAGTGATTAGTGATGATGATGGTGATGATGATTATGATTAAGATGGCAATGATGGTGGTAATGGTTTAGTGATTAAGGTGATGATGATGATGATGATGACGATGATGGTGATGACGATGACTGTGATATGAATGATTAAGATGATCATGGTGATGGTGGTGAGGATAATAGTGATTAAGGTGATGATGATCAAATATAATCATGATGATGATGATGATGAAGAAGAAAATTTTGCTGTTTATCCTCTTCCCCTAAATGTTCTTACTCTTTACCTTTAAGTTGTGTACAGATAGGAAGACAATAGCAAAACAAAAAAAAAAAGTCAAAAAAAAAATTTAGCATCTTTCTTTCCTTTGTTGTTTCCTTTTTTCTTTAAAAACTGACATTTCGAGGAAAATGAGAAGTGTTTTGCGTGTATCCTTAAGAACAATGTAAGCATCCTGAAAAAAAAAAAACAACATTTTTTTTAAAAAGATTCAGAAAAAATTTCAAGCAGACTTGTATAGAAAATGGATTTTCATTGTTTTCAATGACCCATTTTCTTGCTGTTAAAATATGAATTTTGTGTCTATTGCACTAACCTTAGTTGCGTTTTTATGCATTCCAATGTCAGAAGGTTGTGCAGGCAGAAGTTTTTAAATCTAAAACTGTTTATAGAATCGTTTTCATTGGCTCTGAATTTTATAAAGCTTATACAAAGTTCACTACACTTAAGTGAATCAAGAGTTTTTATGGATTTAAGAAAGTGATAATTTTCACATTCCCTTTCAGATGAGGTACATTTCACTAAGGACTGAATATGATGATTTGCTTCATTTCATGTCTTATTCAAGTTGAGTTTTGTTAAGAATTAATAGACTTTACAGAATGTTTCCTTCATTTCCTCTGTTAGAAAAGGCATTTTTAGGATTGTTCTTTTATCTTTCAAGACATGGCTCTCCACAACTTCTTAACCTTTGTAGCTCTAAGCAATATCTGTCCCCTTATTATCACTCTTTGTTCTGTTATTTGTTTGATATTTTACTCACTGTTCACCTCTTGTCTTCAGTATTTCCTGTGAGTATCATATTTTTCAAGCCATCTTTCCTCATTATATGTCATAGAAATTTTAAGTATCACTTTTCTTGTTCATTTTTGTGCCTATTTTCCTTAAAACTTATTTATTGCTTGCATGCTATGTCCTTTTTATTCTCAGTATCCTTCTGTAGAACCACAATTTTTTTACATCAAATCTCCTCTTCACCTGAGAGAAAATTGTCCAGCATGCACTGCCTGCCATATAGGAGAAAATGGTTCTCTTCACTTCAGCTAAAAAAAGAATTTGAGGAATGCCTCCCACCATCTTAGCTTTTTTTTTTTTTAATCAATTTACCTCAAGCAAGGTGATATTGCCACTCAGATGCAAGAAGATACTGGAGTGACAGAGAATGAAAAAATGAAAGGAACTCGAAACCCAACCCTAACCTGGAAACAAAGGGATAAACATCTAATCCTGTTCAAAAGAGGAGTGTGAACCAGGTAATATATATATATATATATATATATATATATATTAAGAAATGGACAAAGTCCGACAATTTATTTATTAAAGACATTTTTATGTTTAATGTTCTTTTTTATAGATACAAGTATTTAAGTAAATGCTCTGTATTTTTTTATAATAAACAGTATTAAATAACATTTACCGGCCTGAATGTCCGAGAAATTTTCATAGAAAATATTCGTCCTTTGACAGGATTCGAACCTGCATCCTATCTGGAACCGTCATTTACGCTGGACGTGCCTAACCTCTCGCCACAAAAGGAGCGTTCGTAGGCAAGGTCGAATTTACTGCTTATAAACTTCAATCTTCCATGAATCTCGTACATTCATAACTGCTCTGGCATATCAAATGTAAACAAATGACGTCATATGTTAAGAAATGGACAAAGTCCGACAATTTATTTATTAAAGACATTTTTATGTTTAACGTTCTTTTTTATAGATACAAGTATTTAAGTAAATGCTCTGTTTTTTTTATAATAAACAGTATTTTCTATGAAAATTTCTCGGATATTCAGGCCGGCAAATGTTATTTAATACTGTTTATTATAAAAAAAAACAGAGCATTTACTTAAATACTTGTATCTATAAAAAAGAACGTAAAAACATAAAATGTATTTATATATATATATATATATATATATATATATATATATACACTCCTGTACAAATTAATTGAGACAACCACTTTAGTTTTTTTTTTCTTTCAACATACTGTTAGTTTTAGACCCACTGGAGTGACAGGGTGTAACCGATTTTTTTTTCCTCAGGTTAGGTCATTTGCAGGGGTGTTCAGTAATATGAATCTATTTTCAGGGTGTATGATGAAATTTGTTTGACCTCAAAAAATATTGCATCATCCATGATTGCATCAGATTTTCATCACATCCAGACACTGTTGTCTCAACTGTTGATTAGTTGTCCTACAGCCATTGTCTGAAATGGATGTTACTTCAAGGAAATTGTAATGCTGAACAAACACACTGGAAAGCCTTAAATCAAAGTACTATCAACTGGCTCAAAAACTCTCCTGATTTAGATCCAATCAAGAATCTGTGATCAATCTGCAAGGAAAGACATTGTGGAATGGACATACTAAGTACTAACATGTGCACTGGGTCATGTTTCATTGGAAAAATACAAATAAGTAAATAATAATGGAATTATTCGTTTTGGATCTATTAATTTGTACAAGGGTATGTGTGTGTGTGTGTGTGTGTGTGTGTGTATATATATATATATATATATATATATATATATATGAGTATTCAATGAATAGACAAGGAATATTTTGTTAATTCCTTAAATGTATGTGCCCTTGTTTTTTTCCTTGAATGTATTTCCCCATATTTTTATTTTTAGTATAAATATAAATTTATTTAGGAACTTTTATATTCTAATAATTTATTGGGGGGAAAAATCTATGACAAACTGGAAAAATTTTTTGTGTGATGCATTTTGTTCTTTAGTACTTCATTGGACTAAATTCGTTATGTTGGTGCAAGCAAACATCGTCACAAATGAGTGACGCTGGGAATTTAAAAAAATTTTGCTTTTGGGTATATAATTTAGCTGATTTTATTTAGGTTCTTTTTGTTTCCATCACATTTGCCATTAGATTTCCTTCAAAGTGATAATAAATGATCTGCCAGGAATGGTAAAATGTTGCAAGGGCCTGGGTGCAAATTTAATGTGGATGATCAACACATTCTCTAAATATTCTTATCTTAGTAAATTGTTTCCTACATTATGATAGTGGAAAAGTAACTGAAGCCAAGATGCCAGATAAAGATCAATGAAATTGCAAATTATACTGTGGATTTTATCAAGGATCCCTAAATATATATCAGGAGCACCAGACCAGATGTGGCAGTAATATTCTAAGCAGGGATGAATGGTAGACTTAGAAATATGTAAGATAGATTTGGGCAAGAAAAATTGTCTAGCAAAACACAATGAACCAACTTTTCTGGCAGCAGACCCAATTAATTCAATATAATCTTTTCCCTTCATGTCAACAGAAAACATGAGGGAGAGAGAGAGAGAGAGAGAGAGAGAGAGAGAGAGAGAGGGTTAGGGAAATTATTAATTTTCTTTTCACTTTTAGAAAAAGAGTGAATGTTTTCATCTGAAATTTAGCACAATACTTCAACCTGACCTTTCTTTTTAATTCAATTAATTTTAATGACTTGTTGAATTCTGCTCAAATATCGTTTGAGTATAGATTAAATTTTAACCTCCTTCAAGTTTTTATTAACAATCAAGGAAAGAAACTAAAGTCCATAAAATATTTTATCTGACAGCAAATGCAAAGAAAGTAAATATTGAGTAGGAATTTATTTTCTTAAGATTATATTTCTTTCAAAGCAGCAAGCACAATGGAAGGACTTGCTTTTCTTCTTCAGTTTTCATCTCTTCCCAATTTTTTTTAGGGCACAAATGGATAATAAGATTCACAATCAAAACAAAAATATTTTTAGTTGGCCATCAAGAAGAATTGCTTGCAAAATATTACCATTGTCTTTTATAACAGCATTAAAAACAACAAATTCAATTGATGGCTATTTTGCTTTTTTATCTTTTATTCTATAAATCTATTTTTCTTAGCCTGTACCAGAAAATACGTATATATATATATATATATATATATATATATATATATATATATATATATATATATATATATAATTGTCTATTTGGGCAGCACTCCCTTTTTATACAGATTTCATTGAAGATGACTAACAAGGCACTGCGATTAAGCTTTTTTATTATATTATTTTTTTACATTTTTCTTGGATTTGTCCAAGTGATTTCTTTTTTTCATAGATTATTTAAGAACTGCTCAAATAACCTGTGAATTTGAGTATTTTCAGTTAATCTATTAACCATTATCAAGAATTTATTATTTTTAAATAATAGAAGCATTAAGAATGCAGAAAATGGTTCAAAATAATGGAAGTGTTAAGAAAAAATAAGAATAAACTAACTCTTAATAATTACAATTATGAACATGGCCACAGCATGCTGGCCGTGTTCAAAAATGAAAACATTCATATTGCTGTATAAAGGTAAAGAAAAACTGCATAGTCAGTGAAACAAAAAACATTCTTGATAATGGTTAATTGATTCAGCAAAAGTGCTTGGATCCAAAGATCATTTCAACAGTTTTTAAGCACTGTTCCCAAAAATAAATCACTTTTACGAATGCAAGAAAAAATATAATAAAAAGTTTAATCACAGTGCCTTGTCAATCTCTAATGAAACTTATATATATATATATAATTATTTAATTAAAAATTATAACATAAATATGTTATAAAATCACTACAAAAATAGTCATTTTGTTTCAAAAGGTTTCAAAATAATTAACGATCGTTTGCCAGGGGAAAACGCTGTTACATAAGTTAGATAAGCTTGATCATTCTAGCTTATGTAACAGCATTTTCCCCTGGCAAACGATCGTTAATTAATTTGAAACTTTTAAAACCATTTATTCTACATTCAACATCATCACATGATAAGACACTGGAGGTGTTGAAACAAAATAGCTATTTTTGTAGTGATTTTATCACAAATTTGTGTTATAATTTTTAAATAAATAATTATATCTGCTCTACACTGTATTGAGCACTCTTTTAAGAATAGTAATTGTTGGTTATTGGAATTTATTTCGTATACACCAATCCTATACTTGGGTATATATATATATATATATATATATATATATATATATATATTGTTTTGTTAGTTGATTTCCAGTGGATACCAAGTTTTAAACTGTTGTTAACATGGTGTAGCTTTACATCAAAAGAAGGGTAAAGAATTGTGTTCTTACAGTTCATATGTAAATTCCATTGAAATTCACACAAAAGGGACATTTTATGAAATAATACACCAAAATTATAATTAATTCATTGAGTCCAGAAGAATCTTCAACGGAATGCAGAAAGCACTGTACTGCCGTTTCATCCTATTTGCATTCCCTACTGAGAATCAAACCTGATTTCTGCATTCTGTTGATGATTCTTCTAGACTTGATGAATTAATTATGATTATTCAAATCCTCCTTAATTTATATATATATATATATATATATATATATATTTGTGTATTTAGGGAGCAAATTCTCTTTTAGGCATGTCTGATTGAATAAATTACAGACATTATGTTTGCTAATTTTTAATAAAATCGTTTCATACTCACTGATATCCTTCCATGTATTGATATTAAAAGATGAGAGAAATGTGCTATAGCTGTTTAAATTTCTTTTATTTTCATTTCCCAAGCACTTTCGATCTTTTCGCAAAATCATCATCAGGGGTGCAATCAAAAACACAAATATCCTACACCATGAAAACAAAAGATTTAGATGACAGATACCTGAATTTATATAAAAGAATCAAAGCCAGCACTGAACAGAATCAACTATGAATACTGCAGTAATGTTCTGAAATGCCTGTAAAAGAACAGTTTCTTCATGCTTTAGGTAAATTCTAGCATAATTCTTGCCTTCAGCTTGTCTTTGGTGTTACAAGGAGTTTTGTTGGTCTCTCACTCAACTATGCCCCACACATAATAATCAAGGGGGTTTGCAATCTAGGGAGTTAGGTGGCCAGATGTAAGGGGTAATGTGGTTGCAGAAATTGTCTAACAGCCATGACAGGGTTCTCCTGCTTGTTTGGCATGATGCAGAGTCCTATTGTCAGACATAGCTTCTTCCAGAAGTCATCCCCTTGATCCAGGTCAGCACTACCTCCTCAAGGTAATTGATGCAGTCCCCTGTGTTGATTCTGAGTCCCTTTGGGAAGATGAATGGAGGCATAACGTCGTCATAACTAGTGATCATTTCAAATACCATGTTGACTGGATATTTGGTTTTCATCACTTTCAGTACATCTTTTGGAGACGCAGTAAACTGACCAATGTTCTGTATGTTCACCATCTTATGCTGGCAGAAATTTTTCTCAGTTGAGAAAAACCAAAGTATGTTTGGTTGGAGGAAATTCTTGGGTTTGTTCAAAAACTTTATAGCATTGGTGTTTCCTCTTGTCTGTCATAGCTTGGGATAAAAATTGTCCTTTCTCATCTTATATAAGAAATACCAAATGTTTTCATGCCTGATAAGAAACTCAGACATTCCTGTGTCACTGGCTGTGGACCTGATTGACTTGGAGGCTTGGATCTCACCAGCAAATTTGAGTGTTCTTTTCTTATTAGAATAATCAAAATTAATTTTCCCAGCTGCTGTACCTTTTTGTAATTGCCATTAGACTCATTCAACTCTTTATGAATCCTCTACACTGTCAGATTGACACCCAAACACTCTGAAATATTCATATTGGAATATACAGCGCAAATGCCAAGTAGTACAGCATGATTTTATCAAATTTCTAGCTGAATGAATTGTGTCATGGTGCTCTTTTTCTCAGATATGGTGCCCAACTGACCCTACTATACCATGCAGCCAGCAAAATCAAAAAACAAACAATGTGACTGTGCAAAATTAAAAATATAAAATAGCAACAATTTACCCATCGCACCTTGTGTGTATATATATATATATATATATATATATATATATATATATATATATATATATATAGGTATATACAGAGGTGTGTGCGTGTACTTTTCTAAGTTTGTTTAAATATGGTAGCATGTGTGAGTATGAATATTTGCACACAAGTCTATACATAACACTCAGCACAAACACATATATACACACATATATATCTATATACTTATACAGACATAAGTACTTATACAGATATGTGTGTGCTGACTTGCTTTCTGTGTGCCACTGTCTGTGTGTGTGGGGGGGGGAAAGATATATGTATGTATGAATATTCAGACACAAGCTTACACAAATAACCCAAATTGCACCTGCACACACACACACACACACACACACACACACACAGACAGACACACATACACACTTATTATTTAATTATCAGCCTTTTATTATAGCCACCGTATAATTCAGCCTTGCTCTAAGGTCTGTCAGACATGGAAATCTATCTATCTATCTATCTATCTATCTATCTATCTATCTATCTATCTCAGTCTTTGCATATCTATCTATCTATCTATCTCAGTCTTTGCATATCTATCTATCTATCTATCTATCTATCTATTCATCTATCTATCTATCTATCTATCATATCAAGTTTGTTTATATCTAAAATAACCTGTTTATCCTCTGAAGTTGTTTTGTAAATGAGGCATTTTCGCAATTACAAATATTTTGACTATTTTTCCATCAACTCTCAGCAAAAGCAAAACTTCAAAGAAAAGAGACTGACAAGAAGAAAAAAAAGAAAGAAATAGATGAAAGAAAACTAGTCAAATAGCAGTAATTGTAACCTTTTCTATTAATCTTTGCCTTTTCATGTCCATCATTCAAATCCTGTCAATTTTCCATCTAACTCAGTCAACAGCTACCCATTTATGCAGTCATCTATTCAGACTAATGTCCTCATATTGTCTGTTATATTCACAAGGTTTTTGCTTTCAAATCAAACACTTTATTCAATCCACAGGAAAAAATTCTAATCCTAATCTCCATGTCAGGAGATAATGTTGTTAATTCTTTCTTGTTAATCTGTTCTTGACAAACATTCGAAGATGGACAGAGGGTACAACCTTAAAAACATTGCAATCAATTACAACCAAGATGAAGAGAACAGTTCAGATAATTTCATGCATAATAATGGTATTTTCTCATCGCAGACACTCTCTAGGCTTACGGCCATATCATGCTGAAACACTGGCTATCGTATGATCACTAGGTTAACTATCTAGATGGGTGACTGCTTGGGAATACCAGGTGTTGTAAGCTTAGATGGGTGGTGTAATAGATAACTGCTTGAAAATGGAAATACACTTGGGAAATACACCTCTTCTCCTCCCCAGCTATGGGTTAATTAGTACAACTTGTAATTCTGCTTGTGTCCTATATACCAAAGATATGAATAAAAGTGATAAATGCAATTTCCAAAGAAATTCTCAAGATCATGAAGATAGATTTTATGAATGGATTGTGGATCAGAGAAGGCAAGGGATATCCACTTCTACAAACATGATAAAGCAAGGGATATTCATTTCTACAACTATGATAAGGCAAGG